TTTTTTTCTTTGTATAGGCTGTAGATTCGTAGGTTCACAAAAGTAGACTGCTGTCACAATTAAATTTCACCACTCAAGGCTCTATATCCAAAACTCATCATCCTTTCTTGTTCTCGAATTTTACTGAACAGCATGCGAATAATAAGTGGAGAATATGAGCACAGAATAAGTTCGGGTAATTATAAAAAACTACCCATAAGAAGAAAACATCATATATCATTGAGGTAACTGTAATCATGAACGATAGCCTGCTTATTATTATAATTCAATCAAACCTCAAGGGCGGTAAAACGAAATTATCAATAAACTGACATCATACGTGTGGTGGTGATTTGGTGTTCCAAGTTGCCCAATCCTTGTCGACATGATTCTGTGCCCAAAGTAACGAAAATCGAGCGGCTAATGGTGCACTGGGAAGATTTTTCCTCCTTTAGTGCCACCATCATATCTGTAAAAGGCTCGATTTGTAAAGTCCCAGGTCCTCCATAGTCTTTATGCAGGAAATCACTTAGTATCTGATATCATATCAAGAACTTTTAAGCATTACAACAGTTTTCAACTAAGAAAATCAATACAGACTTCTTTTTTTTTCGACAGAAATAAATTGTGTGTTGCAACACAAGAATCGAGCTTATCGAGGACAAAACTGAATCAATAAACAAATATTGTAGAAGGGTCGACCCGTCTTACGGTTAGACTGCCTCACACAAGAATCGTGTCAAATATATGTATCTATATCAATAAACAAAACACGAAGCTATAACACTGATATATTCAAGAGCTAATTGAAGCAATATTAACCTTAGTACATAAAATTTCATCAACCAGGACATCATAAAGTTCAGCTGTGAACACCAGGAAACAAAATATAAACCAGACATTAAAAAAAAAAAAAAAAAAAATCACAAACAAAATCACATAAAGCACAATTGATTAACATAAGCATCAGAGAAAATAAAATATTACCTCTGCGCAGATACTGACAACCGTCTGAAGATCATCCCCAAATGTATCTTTCTCCTTTGAAAGCCTCATCTGCAATTCAGCGATGGGGCCAGGATAGACGTACGTCTGAGGTAAGACCGCTCCCGGAGGTCGTGAAAGGGTTCCCGCCGTGATGAATGGCGCACGGGCGCGCAGGATAAGGTAGTCGGCGCGCAGGTTAATGCCGCCGGAGATTGGGGTTTTGGCGGGAACGGAAGTCGGTGGCCGGAGGATTGAGTGGCTCCAGAACGACGCCATTTGGTGGGCTGAGGTCCGCGGCTGACACGGTGATATTTTAGATGGACAGCTGATAGTTGGGCCGGGCCTTTTCAATGACCAATTAAACAAGTTATGGCCCAATTAGGATATTGAATTATTTTAGCCCATCAAGTCTCTCTCTCTCCAACTAATATCATGAGTGGGCCCACATAAATCCTGACTTTGTAGTTGCTTCCTGCTCTCTTTTCCCAGAAATTCTATGGTGCCACATGTGGCACTATATTATGGTGCCACAACATGATGTGACACATTATGATTGGTGCCACAACATGATGTGTGATAGTTGTAGCACCAATCATAATGTGCCACCTCATGTTGTGGCACCATAATTGGTGTCACATGTGACACCATAGAATTTCTGCTCTTTTCCTCATATTTGTAATGGAAATAAACCTCCTAGTGGGCCCCTATTAAAAGAGAATATTGGCTCAAGTTCTGTAGGCTATGTTGGGTCGAGTATGGGGTACCATCCCTGTTAGTAGCAGAATATGGGGCACCCCGTACTCTGCCGTCTGAAATTTTGTTATTGTCACGCCGTCCACGAAAATACTCTAATATCCAAAAATAAAATATAAAAATAACATAGCACTTGAATCCATCTAATAAATAAATAAGTCAAAAAATATAGATGTGCGAATGAATGAAGTGTATATGAATACACTATTAAATATAAAAAACATGCACATTTTCCGACCTATCAACATTCTAATGTTGAATATATTGGTAAGTATTTCCGTAAGAATAATAATACCATTTTAATTTAAAAAAAAACTGGAAAGTTTGTTATAGAGATAAACCTGGTTAAATAAATGATTAATTAGTTAAGATATTATATTAATTATATCTTAAACAAATTTGGCTAGAAAATGTAGATAAAAAATATAATATTAATTAGTTTGTTAGTAAAATATGATAATATGAAAATCAAGATAAAATAAAATTTTCCCAAAAAAATATGTTTAGGATATTTTTCTGTAAATGTTTGAATTATATCACATAAGAAAAAAAATAAATAATAAACGGTTATTAGTATATTAAATTATGTAATTTTGAATTTCTTATAAAGTAAAAGGTATGATAACTCAAATCTATTTTTAAGAAAAATTTTAGTAATTATATTTGTAAGAATAATTGTATAATTAATTAACTAAAATATTATATTAATTATATTTTAAAATACCCGGTTAGATAACTTGGACCAAAAAAAATATTAATTAGTTGTTAGGAATGTGTTTATATGGAAGTTAAGATAAAATGGAATGTACCCAAAACATATGCTTGTGATCTTTCCTTTAAATGTTTGAATTTATATTTTTTCGAAAAAAATTAAAAAAATATGAATTAAGAATCATAGGCGGGATTTTTCCAAAAATTATAGTTCAATTTTGGTTCATATTATTGTATATAATATATATATATATATATATATATATATATATATATATTAAAAGCCAACATATTTACCAAAAATAGTAACAAGAAAAGTCAACACATATTTAATGTAAACCTTATTTGAAAATTTTTTACTATATGCATTAAATGCTTGCATATTTTACATTTATTATCCAGATATGATCTTAAAGATTTTTCCTTAAATAATTTATGCAATGATTTTACTGATATCCATTATAATTAATATTTGTCGAGTAATATTTTTTAACC